TGCACTCCAGTCTGGGAGACAGAGTGAGACTCCAGCTCAAAAAAAAAAAACTCACCTGACACAGGGGTCAGAGGGTACAGTCAGCTGACAGGGAAGGATAGGGGGTACGGTCACCTGACACGAGGGTTGAGAGGTCCAGTCACCTGACATGAAGGGCTTAGGGATGCAGTCACCTGACGTGGGGGTCAGGGGTACAATCACCTGACAGGGAGGACGAGGGGTGCAGTCCCTTGACAGGGAGGGTTGGGGGTGCAGTCACCTGACAAGGAGGGTGGTGATTACAGTCACCTGACAGGGAGGGTGGGGAGTACAGTCACCTGACCAGGAGAGTGGAGGTACAGTCACCTGACATGGGGAGTTTGAAGGGGTGCAGTCACCTGACAGGGAGGCTGGGGTGCTATCACCTGAGGTGGAGGCTGGTGGAGGCTGTCACCTGACATGTAAGAGCTCCGCAAATGCCCGTGCATCCCGACTGCCCCGTCCACTCCTGCTCTACCCTAGGGCCCAGCCTCCTCCCCTCCCCCATGCCCTCGTAGCCTCCCGACTGGGCCTCCTGCTCGCTGCCAGCAGGCCTGAAAGGGAATCTATGTCCAAGACCCTCTGCCCAGGTTTCCGAGCGAGGGTGACCATGCCGGCCCTCCGAGTCCAGCTCAGCCAGGGCCCTCCCCCCACTCACTGAGATGTGGGGCTTCCCCAAGGCCCCCATCAGGGCATCTGTCCCCGTGGTCAGACTGCACACATCCTGCCCCCAGTCGGCTCACTGACATCCCTGACCCCACGCGGGAGCGGGACTCACCGTCCAGGCTGATGTCCCCTCTCCCAGGCAGCCTTCCTTCCCGGCCCCTGCCACAGCTAGCGGTCAGGCGTCACCCAGTTCGTAACTCCTGGCTGCTGCAGACATCACTTGCCCCACTCCACTAGAATCAAGCAGGGATGGCAGTTGTAGCTGTCTCAATCACCAGAAGGCTCTGCCCAGAGGTCATGAGCCCAGCATGCCACTTGCCAGCCAAGTAAGCTTCATACTCACTAGACATCGGTGAACCTCAGTGGACTCAGCCGTAAAGTGGGCATAAAGATATCCCCTACCCAAGGGACTGTTCAGTGCGTTAGGTGAGGTACTAACCACATAGCTCTTGGCAGAGCATTTTCACGTAATGTTGAAGCAATGAATGAACGCAGGAATGAGTGAACATTAAACTATCAACCACCCTCATGACAGGACTCCATCGAGGCAGGAAGTTACAGAGTTGGGTGTGGAGTCAGGACTGCAGAACTCAGAGCTGAGTACCAGGAGAAGCCTAGTCCTACCAGAAAGGCTTGAACCCCTGGACCAGACTGCACCTGAAGCTGGGCTCCTCTCCCTGGACATCTTGGCTGTGTGTCAGTAACTGCCCTTCCACTATGAAATCAGTTTAATGAGGCTTTCTGTCGCTTTTAGTAAACACCACACCTAGCAATGTCTTGGGGAAGGCGTCTTGCAGGCTTCCCTGGAGGTGGAAGTGTGGAGCCATGAGAAGGGTTTCCACACTCCAGGCTCCCTCAGGTCCGTCCCTTTGGCACTGGACATGTGAGAATGTCAGAGCAGGAATGTGTTCACGGCAGCACACACAGAACATGCCCCACTCCACAGCCGCTCTGCAGAGTCGCCCCACCTGGTCCTCAGAGTCTCTCTCCACGGAGGCCAGAGTCTCACTGCCTCTCTCCAGCCCATTACCCATCAAGGTCCCCGAGGGAAGAGGCCCTGTTGATCAGCCCCTGTGTCCCCATAGCCTAGAACAAGGCCTGGAGCAGAGCAAATGCTTGGTGTACACTTGTTGAAGGAACGAGTGAGTAAGTGAATGCCTGAAATGGCATACCGCCCCTGAGAAGCCACACACGTTGGTGTAATCAGTGGAGTCCGGACAGCAGAACGCAGAGCTGAGATCCCAGGAGAAACCTAGTCCTACCAGACTGGCTTGAGCCCCTGGACCAAGCTGTACCTGAAGCCGGACTCCTCTCCCTGGACATCTTGGCTGTGTGTCGTACCTGCCCTTCCGCTATGAAGTCAGTTTAATGATGCTCTCTGTAGTTTTTAGTAAACACCACACCCAAACTAGCACACACCTAGCAATTCAGGAAGCTGCCCACCAAGATGAACATCACAGAAACCCGACTCTGGGAAAACACAGAGTAACGTGATTAGAACGAAAGCTCTGGGAACAATCAAGGATCCTGAAACAAGGGAGTCGGGGCATGTGACCGCATCCCCCTGCACCGCCTGCTGGACAGCGTGGGGCAAACATCCTTCTGACAGCACACAGTCCTCTTCCCATGCGTGGCGTATCCAGTAAACTTCTGGCCTGGATTAGGATCCCTTAGTGGGCTGGGCCTGGTGGCTCATGTCTGCAATCTCAGCTACTCAGGAGGCTGAGGCAGGAGGATCACTTGAGGCCAGGAGGTCAAGACCGGTCCAAGCAACATGACGAGACCCTGTCTCTCCAAAATTAAAAAAAAAATGTATCTGGGGCGGAGGCGCGCATCTGTAGTCCCAGCTACTTGGGAGACTGGGGCAGCAGGACGGCCTGAGCCCAGGGGTTCGAGGCTGCAGTGAGCTGTGATCCCGAGAAGGGTGGGGAGGTGTGTGCACACATGCAACGTCCTTTCTGTCAGGCCAGCTTTCCTGACGTTGGTTATCAAGAAAATCATATCCGGGTAGGTAACTAGGTTACTTGGTGACCTTGGCCAGCGTTTGGACACTGACTGTGTAGACAGTTGAGAAAATCGGGTTTCTCAGAGTCCTCATTTATGACGATGGGTTCCAGTGACCCCTGAGTCTCCAGCTTCCTCGGTGTGGAGACGTCCGCGACATCTGCTTTCTCCGATGGGAAGGACTTGGCTGAGTAACCAGGACACCCCGACATCCTGCCCGCTAGGATTCCCCGGGGCCTCCTGACCAGCACACCCTCAGCCTCCCTCTGTGGGGCGTGCACTGATTAGGCTCCCCTTAAAACTTCCCTCATGCCAGGCTCGGTGACTCAGCCTGTAATCCCACGCCTTGGGAGGCTGAGGTGAGTGGATGGCCTG